TCTTGCCTGTTTCTTAATGCCCAGTTCAGAGCAGCATTTGTTAACCAACTGATTCTTGATTCAGCATATGCTGAAGTACCAGTGCAGCTGTTAAAATCAATGGCACTCAGTCAAAAGTGCATCACTGATTTATCTGTGTACAGGCCTACAACTGGAATATAAATTTGTACAAGATTTAAAGAAAGATTGAAGAGTCAAGATCAAAAGTCAAACCCAAACTAAATAGTCACTAGAGTAGAACAGTTTTCTGCTTGCTATTTTCTCTAGGTAACAACAAGTGGAGGTGGCTAAGGTTTGGTAGTGCAGCCTAAGCTACTAGATATGGATTTACAACTGATGAATTCTGGCACAAATTCAGATAAAGATTGAATTTATACACAAGACTGATAAAGAAAGGCTTGGATTTCTGACCTCAGCTGTTACGTCTGAAAACCTTTAGGTTTTCCAGCTGCACCAAGTTTTCTATAGAAAATATTATTTACAACCCTGTCTCATCTATGTCAGTACGGACATTTGGCTGTTCTCTCACTATATCCAGGAAAGTTGAAAGCTAGCTCCCAAATCAAAGATCTTTTATGATCCTTAAATACAGAGAAACTTTGTTTCAACACTCTTAGTATAATGTTCCTGCACCTTCCAAATCTGCAAACAAGAGCGAAGAGAAAAAAAACCAATGTAAAATAAAATACTTTTTTCATCTAATGAACACTTAAAAGATGACAGGTATTTACCATGAGGTCATTGCATTTTACTTCTACAAAATGAAGGAATGACACTCTCTCTTACACAAAGAAATTTGTGATGTGCTGATGAGAAGTACTATTTACTAAACAGGTACTTTTTATTAAGTTTCCACCAATCAAGCTTTCCAGAACTGTATCTTATTATACTATTAAGATACTCTATCTTCTACTACTGTTTACAGAGAAGAACACAAGGCCATTATTTTATAGATTTTTTTATAAAAAATTCTTAACCATATTTGAAGACAGTTAAATGAACAATAAGATATTTTGTCTAAGCATTAGAAAATAAGGCTTTAGAAGAAAAAACATGGACACACTCTTGAGAGAAATGATTCAGAGACAGGAAAATTGGATTCTTGCTAAAAAAAAATGGTATTTCAAATGTTTATTTCCTAAGTAACTGAAGTAATTAAAACTCTGTGATAATTCTGTGTTGCCAAATAACCTATTACCGTATTTTCCATTTATTATTTTGTGGGAGTGTTTTATATTTTTTTTATAGTCAATTCACATTTTCAAGTTTATTTTTCCTTAGAGTAAGCTATATTATAGTGAGGCATTATTACAGAGAAAGTTGCTGCCTATTTTTTTTCTAGACAATGTTACAAGGAAAAAATCTGTCTACAAAGAATAAAAAAAAAGTTGCAAGATCTCTCTCAACATTCTTTAAATCTGTTTTTTTCTCCATATTTGCTTTTCTCATCTTTTTTGTATTTCTGGTTGTTATCCATACCATGCCATGCACATGCCTTTTTCCTTTAATTACTTTTTATACTCACTTGTTCATCCACACTTTTACTGCCTGTTGCTAAGCAACATACATAACATTAGGATTTACATTCATTTATCTTTGAACACATTCTACTTCCTTTTTGTGTCATTCTTTTCCAGTATTTTATCCCAAACCATCCTGCTGTTATTTTCACATTTTTTCACACCTTGTTCAGAGTAACTTGCCTAAGAATACTCATAGAATTTTAAAAATAATTCCTAAACAGCCAATATAGTTTAGTATGCATTGTTGATGGTATTTCTTTGATTTTTATCTCTATTTAATTATAAAGAACGATAATGCACAAAATATTCTGTATGAGGAAATGTATCTGTTAACTTGGACATAGGTGGAAAGTAAAGAATACAAAAAAGAGAAAAACCTTCAAAAATAAATCTGCAGGAAGAGTAGAAGACACCATGAGCTAGTACCCAAGATGGACTCTGTTTCATAAATATGACAAGGTCATGGAGGTAGAGTAAATCTGATGTAGTTAAGACACAGGAACAAATATAGGAGTTAAAATACAAGATGTTTTGGATGAACCAATTGCTTCACCCATTAGGAAGGAGAAGGCTTTGGTACCATATGTTTCTTTTAAGATACATAGAATAGCAAACAGGTTAACTTCACTAAGTGTTCTCTGGAAGACTGTTAAGACTTCCTATAGAGACATCACCATCTACTTTCAAGCATTCATATTAACACTAAACACTGAAAAATCTTGGCCACAAACTATTACAGAATATGAAAGAAATTCAATCACATCCCATCCTTCAGTCTCCCATAACTCTACTCATTTTTGTTCTCTGACATTCTTTCAGAGTCATGGAATATTTTAATAAATTCTCTTCAAAAAGACACTCAGGACTATAGCAGGCTAGAAGGGGGTTAATAAGGTCCTAAGGAATTAGCCTTGCCAATAACAGATGCTGTCAGCATCAATCCAATTTTCTCTTCTAGAAAAAACACTACTTAGAGGAGCAGAAACAAGTTGTTTAATGAGTGGAGAAATAATGAATCTAGCCTTCCACAGACTTGCTTCATCTACCTACAACAAAAACCTGATCCTCAGTGACTTCTCAATTTATAATATTTCTGGTTCTCTTCATGCTTCTCACTCTTTTCTTTTTCCTTGCTGTTTGGCTGAGTAAGAGCCATTCTGTGCCATAACTGATTGAAGATTTAGCTATGTTTAAAAATTATATATATGCAAAAAATTACTATATACAGGCTCAACAGACAATTTGCATCTATTTCTCAGACTGAATTTTTGCCTCAGCTGGAAAGCAATACATGTTGCTGAATTACAGAAACTTAGGAAGGTTTAGCTTCTATTTGTCTATAGTTTGGTTGAAATTGGACAATATGTTAAAAATAATTAAGACAGTATAGGCAGAAAGTGTGAATGCATTAGAATTACTTCCCTAGAAAACCAGTGAAAGAAAAAATAGAGCTAGTATTGATCAAAAATCACCATATAGAATGAAAAGCCGAAGTGTCTCCCTACTCCAGAGTAGGCAGCATGTTGCACTTTGCTTCAGCTACCTGCTCTTAAGTCTTTCTTCTACATGTCAGCACATACACGGTCCCTTCACAGGGCTTTTTAAAGACTTCGTCTTTAACTTGGCACTGAATTATACAATAAAGATTGACCTCTTAAATCAATACTATATTCAAGCACTGACAAAAATATTCTGTACCCCTCTGTGAAAGTATACCACATGGCACCATCCGCAGGCAATGCACAAGATCTTTAATAAATTGCAGTTATATGATATGTCAGTCTTGAATCACACTTTTGACACAAAGAAGAAAGCTTTATTCTTTGGCATGGAACTTCATCTCAACCAATCTTTTCTACTTATTCAGAAAATCTTGTTCCACTTTATACATGTCTTCCTGGGACTAAGAAGCATTAAAACATTAAAAGGGCTGAAGATGAAGATAGTAGAAACCAGAAATTCCATCAATACAACAATTTCTTTTAAGATATTCTCTAATACATAATACCTTTTATATGGGAACACAGTTTGGCAGCACCAGCCTCAGCAAACAAGCCAACCAAATCAAAGGCCCCATATCCCTCTGGTCACCAAAGCTAAATCACAGCTGGATGTGGCTGGACATCTGCCATCATGCTGGATTTCCCTGAATTTTTAGAAGTTTAAACCCACTAAATCTAAATGAACTTAAAAACTATTAAGAATGCTTCATGATTCCCTATTAAAGCTGCAGTCGTAGTTAATATTTTCCATAACATCTAAAAGGCCTTATACTATTGGCCTGGTTTTGGCAGAGATAACTTTTTTCCTAGTAGCTGGTACAGTGCTGTGTTTTGGATTCAGCATGAGAATCATGCTGATAACACACTGATGTTTTAGTTGTTGCTGTGCAGTGCTTGCCCTAAGTCAAGGACTTTTCAGTTTCCTGTGCTCTGACAGTGAGCAGTGCACAAGAAGCCAGGAGGGAGCATGGCCAGGAGAGGGGCCCTGTCTAGCAAAAGGGATATTCCACAGAGCAACATGGCCAGTACACAAACTGGTGGAATTGGCTGGGAGGGGCCAATCAATGCTGGGGAACAGGCTTGGCATCACTCAGTGGATGGTGAGAGATGGTATTGAACATCACTTACTCCTCTCTGGTGTTATTCCTCTCTTTCTCCTTTTTATTATTATAATTATTTTACTTTGTTTCAATAATCCAGCTGTTTTTATCTCAACCTGATTCACCTCCCCACTGGGGGTGGAGTGACCAAGCAGCTGTGGGGTACCTAGTTCCCAGCTGGAATTAAACCATGACAGTTATCAAGTCACAGGACTATGAAGGAAATCACATGAGACTAGGAGGCTGTATATGGCATCTTGTTACACTGAAAGTTCATGAAGATTTGAAAATGAAATAACATATGCACTAAATAAGCAATAAATGCATATAAGTTCCTCTGTAGACTTCATTATGCACTCAGTCCAGCAAGATAACATCATTTCAATTCATGCCAGTGAAAAAACCCTAATCAAGTTTCATAAAAACCTTCTGATAAAGTTTTATGGCATTGTCATCATATTCTTTGACATTAATTATTGAGTTCCAGACTTAAATTAGAATTTGTTGTTACCAAAAACTAAATTAACAAAAGAATAAGAAGTTATTTTCAGCTTCTGTGTAGGTATGCCACTCCTAAAAGTGCAAGGATAAAGCAAGATAAAATACAAAAATGTCCACTATTACTAGCCATTACTATGAAGAACAGTTAACATGTAAGAACAGCGTTTTCCAAATCCATTACAGTCTAACTATGGACGCTGCTCAGGGGAAATCAATGATCTTTGAGTACTGATAATATTAGTCACTTGACTTAAGAAGCTACTAAAATTCATACCCTCCTGAGTTATCTGTAGGCATATATGTGAGGTATGACTATTGTTTACTCTCTTCTAAGTGACAGACAAAAGCAAAAGCTAAAGCAAAAGCAAACTCACCATGAGAGAGTGAAAATCCTGCAGTCCCAAACAGTCAGGATTTTAAATGCATGAGAATCAGGAATGAGTCTGTAAAACAGTATGGGTGTGCTACATACATCCATGAAATCAAGCATGGCACACATTTACTAAGATAAATAGAAAAAAAGAACACTAAGGTGAGGGCCAGAGATTAAATTAGTAAATTAAGTCTTGTTACTGAAATGCATCTTTGACTCCTTTCTGACCATTTTACTAGATGACTCCAGACATGACTCCATCTGAAGTGTTTATGAAACACACTTTGTCAGCATGAAAATGTTTGTCTGAAGAATGTAATAAGCTTTCAACATAAGAAGCCAGGAGGAAAAGAACAAAGAGTAGATGTTCTCTTTCTTTCAAATAAAACAAAACATTCCCTTTAAAATTACACTAAAATGCTACTCTTTTCTTCAGAATTAATATTTTTCACTATAAAATTAACATTAAAAAATCAATTCGGCCCTTAAATGGGAATAACACTCTTGCTCAAAAATTCCAGTCATAGTGCACTATATATATTTATACATAAGCAGAAGACAATGCCACTACGTATTTACATTCCCCAACTTAGGTAAAGAATTAATATTGAATTTGGCATTGTTGTGCATATCCCATATTAATGCTACTCAGGGGACAAAAACACAGCAGATAAAAAACAATAAAAAGAAGAAGAGATTTGCTGCCAAGTTTGTGATTTAGATGTGTAAGACAAACATCTTAGTATTTATCAGATTAAGCAAGACACACAATTAGTTGCAGTAGACAAGACAAATCAAAGCTATCTGTCAAGAAAACAAAGGTTGTTAATTTGCTCATTTCCTAGAATTATTTGATTCCAAAAGAGATTAACAATACTAGGAGTTTACAATCAGGGGACAAAGGCACACACATATAACACACCAGACAGACTGACTAAGAATATGCTAAAAATCAAAATCAAAATCCTTAATACAAGGTAGTTACAAAAAGTTATTTTGCTTTGGTAAATGTACTTACTTTAGTTAAATTACAGTTACTTACTTAGTTAAATTACAGAGCTCATTGATTGCTTTCTCAACAACAAAACTGCATTCTGAATATGAGAATTGGCTTGCTTTCAGCAAGACTCATAAATAGCTTGGAGAATAACACTGAATCACAAAGAACTTGAAATAATTTCTTTACCTGTTTCTGCAGGCCATTTGGCAATATGAAGTGTTGGGTTGTCTTGATAGTAAGATCTGAATTTGTCCCCATACGCATTTTTGAATGTAGAAATACAACCTCTCTATTTGTGCATGCGTCTCAGCAACCCCAGGGCTGTTCTCTACTGCTTGAACAGTACACACATATTCTAATGCCTTCTTCTTCTACTAATTCCAACAACAGGCTTTGTATTAGTATTTTGTATTAGTATTCAGTCAATCAAGTAATTGATTGAAACATGACAAGTAAAACTTTGGTTTTCTTGAAATTGATTTAAATTTTCCAAACCAATTATTCTGTAATTCTTATAATCAAATTCTATAAAGAAAACTGATACAAGAGACTCCACAATGGATAAAATTCACGACCTTATTTATCAAGGAAGACTTGGTGAATTCTAGATTGTTAGCATCTAGTTGGAACAGAAGGAAAAAAAGAGGGGAATCTCTGCTTCTAAGCTAACCAACAGTCTGGGTAGCTGTACCTTAAAGCTCTAAGCTTACCAGTACTTGATTATTATCTTAGAGGAAAACATCCTAAAAGAGAAAAGAAATAGATCGAAATTATTGAACAAAATTGTTAACACTTAAAGTTTGTTAAGCAAAGGTATATATTGTAAGAATACACCTGTAATACTCATACAGTATATACAATATATACTATATACTGTATATAATACATGTATATCAAGATAGAAAGATAATGTCATGTCTAGTAGTCCTGGCAGAGAACCCAGAGGATTGGTGATATATCAGATTTTTCCAAAAGGCTCATTGTGTCTTGTTAATATCTATCTGGGTGCAAATTTAAGTAATGAGGCCACATCAGATCATTCCCATGCCATATCATGCGATGATAGAATTGGAAATTTAAACCTTCAACAGCATTGGCAGGGTCTGAAAATAAATAAAAAGAATTGATTTAGAAGGGTCTATACAGAGAATACAATTTCAGCTGTTGCTCAGTTCTAGGACACAGAATCTGGACAGAAACAGTTCCTGACTGAAATTGAATTTTGAGGAATTAAGGAAAAGAATGTTTTTCAACAGCAACATAGGAAGAACAACAGGATATCTGATGAGTAAGTAACTTCCTCCCCCATTACCCACCTATCACAGTGGGCATCATCAGATGTTCCAAATAAAGAATAATTATTGAGCACTTTACTCTCTAACAAGTGTTACCCTATTCCTACTTAACAGTCACAATGGAAGAAGAAATAAATATTGTAAAAAATAGTTGTGAATTCATAGGGAGGGGGTGGGATGGGATGAATAAAATATTTTAAGACATTAGAAATCAAAGACCAATATGGTGCAAAATTGCCATGAAAGATCTTTTTTTTGCTTAGGAATAGAGAATTTAGTGTGACTCAACTACCTTTCCTACAATGGCTTCAGAGTATAAACGCATTGAAGAAACCTGACACAATTTCTGACCCCATCTGAGAGAAGGAAATCTAGAGTGGGGCTATTCTCAACAGTGAAGATTTTTTTTTCTCACATTCAGTCAGAATTTTCCCTGACACAATGTGTACACACTGCCTCTTGTTATGGTGCATCACATACTGAAGACTCCCCTTCTGTAGTATCATCAGAGTACCAAAACACAAGTTGCAGTACATGCTCAAGTGCAAACGTAATCTTATTTTTTATAGGAATGCATGATTAAAAGGGAATCTTCTTTTGACAGTAAGTTTATTTCAAGAGAATTTGCACAAGTTATAAGAGATACGGAGGAAAAAATCAGCAGATACACTTCAAAAATTCAGATATTGTCTTAAACTTTCAGGATTTATGGCATTATGTTTTTCAAACTTCAGAGGGAAATATTACAAGAAAAGAATATAAATTTATTTTATTAAAGTTATTGATAATATCAAACAAATCTGGGAATAGCTGAACTAACAATTCCTGATTACTTGTATATTTGGATGTCATGACTGATGAAACATAATCTGATGAAATCTTTGACTAAAGCTTCTCCACAGTTGCGTCTTCATGAGGTCATGCTTCCATGAAGATTCTGTGGTGCTTGCTAAGATTCATTAACTCATATAACATCCCTTTCCTCCACTGGGGCAGTTGCAGCGTCTCTTCTTCTTTGCTCAACTATTTTTATAAAACTTGCAGAAGTAAAATTATTTCTTTGATCTCAACTCTCACTGAAACCAGCCTGTAAGCTCCACGGGTATCAGTAAGTGGACACGCATTATTCTATAAGCCTTATAAGACAGTTAAAAATACCACAGAAATTCTTGTAAAGTTGAAGCAGGAATGTTTTAATAAACTTTGTTCAATTAAGGAATGTAAGTGTTGCCAAGAGCACATACATCATCTAAATGCTATTAATAACATCTTGTCCTTAATTTAAACAAAATACTAAAGATGAAGGGACACCATGCAGCTGTGTTATAGAGTACATGTTGCCACTTAAACTTATTAAATTAAATAGTATCTTAGTTTGTCATGTTAAAAACAAGTCATCAGGTATTTTTAAAATTGTTAGCTTAAGTTTTGTTAGGATGTAGTATTATAATATCCCCTTTTTAATGGTTTTACATTTCTGATGTGGATTCATTTTCTCAAAATGCAGCAGAGACTGCAAGAGAGGAGATAAAATCTAAATCCAAAGAAAACTAGTTAACTATTTGACATAAGACTGTTCTTTTATTATGCCATAGACTGGTTCATTTTTATTTTTGTCATGTTTTTTTCCTACTATAAAGGGACCCTGGACTTTGCAAACACTTCTTTGCTACTCAAAAGGAGTTATTGCTACTTCTATTATTCACATTATTTCTACTATATTATTCTACTGTATTCTCTGTGGGTTTTTGCCTCAGTCTAATAACACTGGTGGACTTCGGGCTGCTCAGGCCCTTGACTAACAACCACAAGTGTGGGAATAGTGACTTTCCATTTGAGGGCATGAAAATTGTAAGGGATCAGCTGTATTGGCTGAATATTCATAGGCACATGTGGCCTGATGGGATTCATCCTAGAGTTCTAAAGGAACTAGCAGATGTTATGGCAGGATCCCACTCTGTCAGCTGCCAAGGATCTTGGGAGTCTGAGGAGGTCCCTGCTGACTGAATCCTAGCCAATGTTATTCCTATCTATGAAAAGGCTGTGAGGAAAGATACAGGAAATTACACTTAGTCTAACCTCAGTTCTTGGAAATATTATTGAGATCATCATACTGGGTGTTATCAAAAGGTATTTAAAGAATACCACAATCATCAGGTACAATCAGTGCAAGTTCACAAGGAGAAGGTCTTGTTTATACAATTTGATATCTCTCTATGATACCGTCACCCACCAAGTGGATGAAGGGAAGGCAGTAGGTGCAGTTTTTCTGGATTTTAATAAGGCCTTTCATACTGTCCCTCACAGCTTCCTTCCAGACAAGATGTCCAACTGTGGATTTCACAATTTAGAATGAGCAGTTTGATTGTGTACAGGATGAAGAAGTTGAGGGCTCAGCTGAAGGGCTGAGCTCAAAGGGTTGTAGTGGATGGGGCTGCATCTGGCTGGTGCCTGGTCACCTGTGGTGTGCCTCAGGTTCAATTCTAGGGCCATCTCTGTTCAATACATTCATCAATGATCTGGATGCAGGAGTTGAATGCACCATTAGCAGGTTTATTGATTATACCAAACTGGGAGGTGTTGTTTACTCTCTTGAGGAACAGAAGACATTGGGAGAGAGATTTAGATAGATCAGGGCTTTGGACAATGACTGATGGGAGGAAAATGCCAGATTCTGCACTAGTACAGAATGGGAGAGGAGTGGCTGGAGATCAGCCCTGCAGAGAGGGATCTGGGGGTGCTGGCTGGCAGCAGCTCCATGTGAGCCAGCCGTGTGCCCAGGCAGCCAGAGTGTGAACCCCGTGCTGGGGTGCATCAAACCCAGCACAAAGAGCTGCTCAGCAGAGATGGTTATCCCTCTGTACTCAGCAGTGCTGTGGCCTCACCTTGTGTCCTGTGTGACAGGACATTTGAATGGCTCAAAGCTCCATCAGGGGACTTTAGATTGGGCATTCTTTACCAAGAGAGTAGTCAAACCCTGCAACAGGCTTCCTAGAGAGGTGATGGAGCAGTTTTTAAATCTATCAGCATACATCACAATTTGCTCTTCAAATAAAAGATGCAGTTTATAATTGAAAATAAATCTTCTGTTCTTAATTCTTGAGAAAAATCTGCTTTTAATAAAATGTATGCTCTGAAAGAGAAGTAATAATTTTCTGTTCAGGGTAGAGGTTCAGCTTTGGATGAAAATAAGCATGAATTGTTGTCATCTAATGGCTGTTTAATAGTTTCTTTGAAATGAGTTTGGTTGGGTCAGTCTTTTTTCCAGTTTCTATCATCCAATGCAATTAAAAAATCATCAACATCTGTGTGGGTAGTTCCTGTAAAGACATCACCAGACTGAATATAAGCTATTGCTAAAAGAACTGATTCACATTTGAGGCATGTTGGCAGGTGTACTGCTATTACCACAGATGTTAATCATAATAAAAAAAATTTAAGCTTTGGTGTCTATTTTATAGCTGCCACATTCTAATAGTTTTATTACATGTCACAGTTTTATCGACTCTGAAAGAAAATAGCTTGAAAGAAAGATATGACCAGCTAAGCACTTGCTGTGGAATTAACATATTTTAATAAGTTGTATTACCATGAATGCATTATGGCAACTGACCACATGCATATCCCTACTTGCAGCAATATAAAGTAAAAAGGATTCATGTTAAATAAGAATGGTATCTGTTAAAACAATTTACTCTGAACTTCAAGGACCAATGAAAGAAAGTCAGTGTGAAAGGCAGGAGTGATAACTAAGAGGTAGGAACCAGTGACTTACTAAATTTGCTAACAGAATTTTGAATACTTGTTTGGACATACCCTCAAAAGCAGAAAAAAACACAACATTTAAATTTAAATATGAACTTACATTAATAACTTAAAATATTGATATATTTACTTCATGTGGTAATTTTGCCGAAATTAGAAAAACGTATGTTGAACTATTTAGAAGAAATAAATGTGTGTGGCACATTGTATAACACTCACATGCTAAGTTCTGCTTTCAAACTCGAAAAAATACATACCCGTACTTATACAACATTTTATTCAGAAAAAGTGATAAGCAAAAAAATTCAGATTTTCAAATTAGTTTTCTGTAGGATTGAAATATATATGGATAACAGACAGACTTTGCTTATAACTGCTAAAAAATCTATTTGAAATTTTTGTTAGGGTGATTTGGTGTCCGATTTATCTATAGTAGAAGTGACAGGATAGGGGAAATAGTTTTAACTATTAAGAGGGTAGACTTAGATCTGCTGCAAGAAAGAATTTTTACAGCGATGGTTGTGAGACACTGGAACAGGTTGCTCAGAGAAGTTGTGGATGTCCCACACCTGAAATGCTTAAGGCTCTGATCAAACTGGTCTAGTGGAAGGTGCCCCTGCCCATGTCTGGGGAGTTGGACCAGATGATGTTTAAAGGTCCCTTCCATCCTAAACCATTCTATGATTCTTTGACATCATGCTCAGCAATTAAAGTCTGGGGAACAGACAAGGATAGGGAAGTTTGTGGTTATGGTGTTTGTCTTCCCAAGTAACAATAAGCTGTGCTGCTTTCCAGGAAAAGTGATCTACTGATGAGAAGTAGTGAATAAATTCTGTATTCTCTTTTGCTTGCATGCACAGCTTTGCTTCACTCGTTAAAGTGTCCTGATCACAACCCATGAGTCTTCTTGCTCTCGCTCTTCTGATTCTCTCCCCCACCCCACTGTTGGGGGCAGTCAGTGAGTCACCGGCTGGGGTCAACCCACCACAAATAGCAAGTACGTAATTGGATGACAGATTTGGCAACAGAGTTAGAGATAGGAAAAGCAAAACTCATTAGTACTACTACTACCCAAATTATGTATCTATCTATAGGTGTTAACTCAATGTTTTCTTGCAAAGTATCACCCCACTTATGCAGAACCTGGGACACATACACTCTTAATTAACGTGCTGGTTCCCTGTGCAATGAATTATGAAACAGAAACTGCCTTGACAAAGAACTTGTGTTAGGGTACAGACTCTTAATACAATAAACATTCAATTTGAGGCTTGTTCCCCATAAAAACCTTAGTATTTTTTTAGGTAAATTATGAGGATCTCCTACTTCCCCAATTCCTCCCTCACAAAGGTGAAACAGTGGGAATTTTAAGACCGCTGTTGGATTTTTGTCCACTTCACAAATATTAACTAAGGACAGAGTTTGATTAATTTTCCCTTCTGTCTTCCTTGGGTGGGATGCTGGTTAGAGAAATTCATTCTTAACTCTAGTCCCTGACTGGAAATGGTAAACAAACATGCTGAGACAGGTCCCTTACATTCTCAAGTGCAGTCTGGTTTGCATTTTCTTTTACCAATGTTAGGGCAATGGTATATTATTTTTGGGCAAGGGATAAGCTTTTAACCCACGATTTAAAAAAAAAAAAAAAAGAAAAATACACTGACATGCACAGGTAGAGAAAAAATGGATCTTGTCTATTAGATACAGTCCTCAAGAGATAAGGAAAAAGACTTGTATAGGTGATGAAGTGTGATAATATGAAAGGCTGCAAGACAGTTGCTTAAGAAACAAGAACAACAAAGGGATAAACTACTGCAGGCATCACCAGAGCTGGAATGACATTGTACTGTGTACTATGTTGCCATAGCAACTAGCCATAGGAAGATGAATGTCTCATATTCACTGTGCTCTGCAGTACATGTCTATAAATCAAACTTGCATAAAAGAGCATAAGATTTCTTCCATGGGGTAGCTCTGAAAAACAGGTTATTTTCTCATTACTAGATAATTACATGAAAGAAATATGAGACAATTAGGTCATTTTTTGGTATGGAAAGTACCAATACATACAAAAGTACTAATATACCTCTACTGTGAGATACTATCAATCTAAAGGCACAATAGCATAAAAAGCCGATCATGAACGCCTTCTTTTCTTCCTTAAGGTCTGAGTTATGCTTGCAAGCTTTAAAAACTGTATGAGAATTTTCTGCCCACTTTTTGTTTGTAAGACATTTTTCATCATTTGTAGGTTCATCCACATTCACACGTAGTTGGATTTCAGCTTACTTTTGTTACTATTCCCATGCTTGGAGGCTTTAGCATACAAATAAACTATTTTTCTGAGTAAACGTTACAGCTAGGACAAATATTTTTTCAGCATCTGTAATTAATAATATTGTATAATTCAAATATGACATTCATATTAATAACAAAAAAGGAAAACAGTACTTAAAGTAGTTTTATAAGAACCTGAATCCCACTTTAAAAGACATGTTCACTTACCAACAGCCATTTATCACAACTAATCGTTGCAAAGGACTCGACACACTTAATATACATGTAGCTACATGAAGATCAGCAGCACTACTATAAAGCAATTTTTCTGTGTGCTACCCATTACAGAGAACCTCACCATGAAGGAACATACCATTTACCTTAGCAGCCACTTCTGCAACTCCTGTGTCAAGAACGTTGAGTTTTACGGTACAATGACATTCTAATCAGGTGTACATCAGGTGCATAATAAACTCCTGATCATTTTGTTGAATATGACTGCAATATTAGATCAGAAACAAATGTTACTCTACTGTTAAGGCAAGATTACAGTCAGTTAATACAATCAAATATAAACCAAAAACCTGTCCACATTTTCCAAACTTCAGCAACAGCTGTGTGCAGTATATTACTGACATATGTAAGAAAACAACCCCTGAGGAGCAAGAACATCTACATTAAATATTATTTTATCAGTATGAGATGAGATTAGATATGCTCCTCAAGAGATTTCAGTAAATTCAGTACAGCCACTGCTAGTAATAGACCACAAATACTGCAGTGAGTTTGCAGGGACTGAGGTTTATCAGGCTTTGTCTGAACTTGTTTGACCTGCCCTGGAGATTCTACTTGCTTTATCTGTTACAACAGTTTTTTCAAGTACGAGGTGGCTATGTCTAATTTGTTCTCCTTAACTTTATATACGAACAACATAGCTTTACACAGATAGCAGTAACAAGAATTTCTTCTATGTAAAATGATATATTTATGTAGAGAAATATAGGCCTGGCACAACAGATGTAAAGACATGGCATATGGAGTAGTAAAGGTATGGGACATTAAGATACAGGGCACAAGCTAACACTGGAGAACCAAGACTAAAAACTCACTTATGGTCAACTAAAGACATGCAGACACAGGAACTGGACAAAATTATTTTTAGGTGACAGAGCAAAGAACAAATATCTGAAATACATAATACGTGCCATATATTGGAAATTAGGATGCAATGTAGGCTTGCAGACCTCAGAAGAAAAAAGAAGGTGTAAACTGGATGGGCAAAAATATTTACATAACACAAAGTAGATGTTAGAGAGAGAAGAAAACATGACTATTATATTCCTTCTGGTGAAAAAGTTGGAATAATAGTAATTCACTCTACCATGCCTGCCCTGAGCCTGACAGCTTGGGGACTGAGAGGGACAGTGGAAGATTGAGAGTAACTACAGAGAAAGCGATAGATAGGAGGAGGTGCATAACATAATTACCTGCATTGAGACATTTTGCTGCATAGTATTTTTTTATCTTTCTTTTTTTTAAATTATAAAATCTGTAATAAAAGGAATTATTTTATTAGATTGCTAAAATTTTAGTATATAGTAAAGATAAATATTGGCTTTAAGTATTAGGTGGGTCTCCTTTGTAGCCATATGAAGATTTTGAGCCTAACAGCTCTTTACAGGAAGGTTAGAAGAATAATCCAGAATAATTCATTATTCTTTCTTGCTATATTATATTGATCATTTAAAATTTGTTTGTATTAATAATGCATGTATATGAATATATATATGAATGATAAATAAAAGGATTCCATTTCCAAGCCTTAAGTTCGTTAAAATTAGTTCAACGTATATGGATACACTTATTACAAGTATTTTGCACACATATAAACCAAGTCTACTTTCTCTGAAAGCTAAATTACTCTGGTGGGGCCCTTCAATCTTCATGCAAATCAATTACTGGTATTATTCCTTACTTGTGTTCTGCATAGCTTGAATACACTTGTTTTCAATTTTACATCTCAGAATATGTTGGGAATTACACTCCATAGCAGAAAATTCTCTGCTATGTATGGTAAGTATACAAGCTAAGTATTATGAATACATCTTTAACTTTTTTCCTACTTTAGTTCCACTCCTGCCTTTATGATACTAGCCACAAACTTTGCTTATTTTGCAATATTTTCCTTAAAGTATAAGAAAATAATGCATGCAACAATGTATTCCAAATTAAATGAACCAGTAGCTGACAAGGTTTGAAGACAGCATTTCCACCAAAGAGAAAATGTTATAAATAAACATAAAAAACCCTTTTCATTTAACAATATCACAGACCTATAAAATATACAAATTAAGCTTTTTCCCTTTGTTTCATTATTTACCTATGTTTTAATTGAGACTTGGAATGCTTTTTTAAGTTTATTTTCCCAGTCTTCATCACTGTACTATGGGAAACACCCCAGTGCTCACAGTATACAAACTGCATTTATTCCAGATGAAGTTAAAACGAAGGATATGCTGCTGGCATATACCCAAAGGACTCCTTCTAGGGATTGTTCAGTCTGTTGACCAGACTAGAATTAGGCTGACTAACCCCCTCAATACAGATATTGGGTCCTCATCATAAACTTCTTGTGCTACAGACCTGATCCCTGTGTGCTGTATTAATTGTTAATACACAGATAATTTTAGAACCCACATTTGATCAATCATCACATGGAAAAACTATAAAGATCTTCTAAGTATTGTACATTATTTTCCTTAACATAAATCTTTTTAAATTATGTTCAATCCCAAAATTTTATTTTAATCTCTTTGGTAAAAAAAGGGAAGAACAAGAAACGTATCTACAAATATGAAAATATATATGCTCCATTTGTTACAACAATCTACTGTAATATAGATTCCGTGTCACAAATATATGAAAATTCTGACAAATATCTGTGTCCAAAATATTTCTTATGGCTTTCCTTTCATACAATCTTAATCCAATTGTACAGATCAATTTAGGACTAAAGTCTTAGCTGTGTTTCCCTAAATATAGTTCATCATCTGTATTTTTGAGCCAATCTCACCTTGCAAGAAATCTCACCACTACTACCTTGCAATATGCACTCCTGTTTAAATCTTTTCTAGACAGCTCTTGAACGTGGATTTCCTGATTAGAGTTGGAAAATGTAAAAGCAAATAATTTTAAGCTTCTTAAGAAACAGTACAGGCAACAAGTTACTTTCTGTACCTGTTTATGTTTATTTAATTACTTTTTAAAATTCTATTTATAAAGTATGTATTACTTATTACTTTATTTACACATTTGTGTATAATCTTTATTAATAAAGGCACTCAAACAGTAATGGTGCTGAAGCTTTTATCTTCAGTTGCATGATAGAATCTAATAATTTCAATTAAGTGAAACAACAAAAAGACTGCTATCCAGGAATATGGATCAATTTATTAATCTTACCTGGTGGCTTCAAATATTATTTTTTCAGATAACTTAGGAGAAATGGAAAGCTCTCTAGAAGTCATCAAAAGCCAAAAATTCTCAATCTTTTAAATCAAGATTAGGTAAGAGAAAAAGAATGTAAATTATGGTGTCTTTTGAAACTAATACAATGTTTGCATGTAAGCTAATCAATTCCCAGTTCTGAAATGATGATACACTCTAAGTTACTGCATTAACAAAATGTTTTAGAAAGGGTACAACACAAAGATTAACAATCTAAAACAGATTTTATACTATTCCCTTTTGCCACTGTTAACTGTTCAAAGGTAATGAGCCTCCATCTACAACTCTTAAGTTTTCATTTTAAAAGTAGACATTTTGAAAACTTGAACAAATTGAAAATTTCAAATTTACAAGGCTTTAAAAATATAGACTATAAGATATTCAATATTACTTTTCAAATCTGCCCTTTTCATTGACAACTTAGGTATTTAGAACATTGTGTTTCAACAGTTTTTTTACAAATTTTACCATCCAATTATTCAAATTATTAGTTCAGTTTAACCTTGACGAATGTATTATATCAGAGCAATATCAGCTGATCAATCACTTAGGTTATGAATTCACTTCCAGAGTTATCTGGAAAATAAAGCATCTCAAACAAGGCTACTGTAGACTGTGTGCAGCAGACAGCAAGTCAAACAAAAGCACAGTACTTGAAACAGTTAAGTCCTTTGAAATAACTCACTAAAAATAACGCTTGAAAAGCTACTTTTAGTTCACAGCAAAAAGCTGAATGCATGCTTATCAGATCATCCCAACATCTGATCTGCCATATGTTTCGCTTTCCCTCTTTTCAAGGACCATAGTCCTGTCTGAGATCAAGAAGAAAAAGGCAGAGGATCTGAAAATCCATCAGCTCAGAGGTTCCTGATAAAGTTTTCCCTTTTTCAGTTTGGTGATGGGACATCCTCTGCTTTTTAAGAGGAATGAAAAAGAACCTCCACATCTACTTCCCAAAGAAAATAAGGGAAAAAAAACCATCGTTGCTTTAATTTCCCTTCCTTGGTCCATTATGAGAAGTAAATAAGATCTATAGCTGCAGTCAAGGAAATTGGTAAAACCTGTGGCATAAATGAGTGGGGAAATATGAGTCATAGAGACGTAATGAGAGGCAGTAGCAAGAAATAGGTGAGGTTAATGGCCAGAGATTTCCTTTAACAGCTGGAGGAGCTCCTACTACCACAGACAGAGCTATAGTCTAGAACACCACAGTCCACTGGCCCTGACTTTATTTAGTCACATTGTCACCATCGTTATTAGTTTAATACTGCTTTATTTAACTTTGCTGCATCGTATATTTTTATTTTCTTCAGATGTCCTGCTTTGCTTAAATGCTTCAGAATTAAACTAATATTTCAAATATTAAGAAGAAAAAATCCTTATGTTGCATATCAAGAGCTGTAAGTACTTACGTGTTTCATTACTGTGCAACCTTCTTTGAGCTCATAAGATGTAACAAACTTTTCAAATAATGGACCTAGAAAAATGTAAAATTAAATAAATCTCCCTGCCAAAAAAAAACCCAAACAGCCAGCTTCCTTTTTCTACTTAAAAATATGTAGGACTAAGGTCTACTGATTATGAATAATTTTAATTATATAAATAAAAATAAAACTGAAATAATAACCTTCAAAGTTAGAGCATAATCATAAAAATATTTCAATATAGTTTAATTTTTCTCACATATTTTCTAAACTTGAGTATAATACTTCTGTTTACCTCTACTTTTTTCTTGTTACCTGCCATCTCATGTTTCTTTACACTGGAGAGAAACCTGAACTTCTCCAAGCCAATAGAATTTGCATGCCATGGATAAAGATCCACGCTGCATTAACAATCTATCTGGCATCATTCCCAGATGCAGTCTGAAATAATGCATAACCCCACCTACAGATTCCTGTGAAACTCATAATAAAACTGAGTGTAAAACTGAATTCCTTCTGTATGCTATATTAAAGTCTTTACTTGTACATTTATCTTACCTTTCTAATAAACAGAAAATTAAAAAAAAATTAAAATGAAAATCTAGTTTGTAAGCTCTTAATTGACCATTTCTTCTAAAATCAAAGTAAAACAAAAATTAAGAAACAAAAATCTGACCCCCAAAACTTTAGGTGTCTCCATAAAACATGCAAAAATCCTGATACAAAAATTCAGCAGACGCATTTTTTTTTGGAAAAGGGATCCCACTTCAGCTCAATATGTAAACACAGATGAATACTCTTTTATCATAATTTCTGATATATGACTTATGTTCATTTTAAAGAAATTAATTTTCTTCTGAAGGCAAGATGACTGTATCCTACAGGAATTTTTCCTTTATCTAATAATAACAAAAGCTCTGCACTTCTTTTTCTTTTGATTCATTCATATTCTCTTCTTTCTGCAGTGGTTCAAAAGCACAACTCCTTCAGCTCCACCTGCTGTCTTAATTCCAATCTGTGTACCAGTGTACAGATTTCCAGTCTCATGGCTTGCTTCTTCTTGGAAAATCATATATTAAGAACTATTACCATCTCAGTTTCCAGGATTACACAGTCTTGCTGCTTTCAACTGCTAGGTTTTGTACATGCACCATTTCTATAATAACAGAGGTTGCCCAAACATGCTGAACTTGTCTGCATGAGCAGCTTTCCATTCAATTGGATAACTATGGAAGTGAAACGATAAAAAGCAGTATAAGCTTTCCATCCATTTATTCCTTCTCTTTCAGAGTAACAGAAGAGCCCAGAAAATTATAGTATACAATTTTCCTTTTATAGAATGACTCCTATAATAGAGGCCCGCCTATTCATTGATTTGGAGAGCTGCCGAATCATGTGCTACTAGAACAGACTGTAAAGCTATGTCAACACACAAAAAAGACATCTTAAAAATTATAAAAGCCATTAGATATTAAAAAATCCATGATCTATCTTTATATCTTAGTTCACTGTTTCTGGTTCAGATATTCATGTGTTTTTTTCTTTCAGAAAAAAAACCCAAACCAAACAATCTTAATTTTGTATTTGTTGCCTAAATTAAAGATTTACAAGTAAGGATGTGGATTAATGAGCATGTGTTCTAGCATCAACACTAGAATAAACAGAAACAGCTTCCATAATGCCTTTCAAATATATTGATAAAAATACCTGTTGAGCCATGTGGCAAAAGGGAAGATGGAATTTATTGATAAAAGCAACCTTAGGTTTTTGGCATTTTCTTTTTTATTTGAATAATTTAGCCAATAAGACTTATCACATGACCCCACAAACAGAAGTTTGAGTGTAATTGGCAACATCAAGGACAACAAAACCCAAGTAGGACTACATAAATGAGAAGCTTATTTATTGAATTATGGTGTAAAATTCCCAACTTAATACAGTGACATATTCAAAAAACTCATAGAAATTTTCATCACTTACCAGCTTGAACACTAAAAATTACTAAATACTTTTCTCTGCCATTTATCAATATAATGTTGCTATTAAGAAATGCCACTTTGAGTGACAAGAATAAGTTCAAGCTAAATGCAATATAGAAGCACTAAAAGTATTACAAAACTATGTGAAGTCTCTTTAATAGCCATGGTCAGCTCATTTATAGAATCAAAGATGAGGATCATAGCACCATTGAGGTTGGAAAAGCCCTTAAGATCATTTAGGCCAACCGTTAACCCAGCATTGCCTAGTTCAACACTAAACCATGTCCCTAAGTACCACAACTACATGTATGCTATGTATCTTGACAATCTCCACCACTACCCCAGGCAGCCTGTCCCAATGCTTCACAGACCTTCTGCTGAAGGAATTTTTCCTAATATCCAGTCTAAACCTCCTCTGGTGCAACTTGAAGCCATTGCCTCCTGGACTCCTGATGGTTGTTGGGAGAAGAGACTGACCTCCTACAGATGGCTACAGTCTCCTTTCTGGTGGTTGTAGAGAAAGATAAGGTTTTCCCTGAGCTGCTTCTTCTCCAGGCTAACTAACCCCAGTTCCCTCAGATGTTCCTCCTATGGCTGACTCTCCAGACCCTTCACCAGCTTCGTGATCTGTACATATTATACAACAGTAGCAACTATGGCATTTAAGTAAGAAAATATTTTATTCTAATTAAAATAAAACCACCCTTTTATCCAAAAAATAATCACATATGTAGTCCAATAGAGTCCTAATCAATATCAAAATCTCAAACTCATTATGTTTAAACAAAGATGCTTAACTTTAAAGAAATTTGAGTTCTTTATCCACAAAGGAACCATAATATTCAAATTTAACTTCTGGAGCATCAGCACCCAAATTTGTTGTTTCCTCTAAATTGAGGAAATTTCTGGTTTAATATTCAGATTGGAAACCGTATTTACTGAAGACTAGCTGGATAAAAATTAATTTGGTGAATCTGTCTAAAATAAAAACCTGAATAAAAATATAGAAAAAATAAGGAGGAAATGCAAAAAATATTTGCATCATTAATGTTTCTACAGCTTTTCTGAGACCCATCTTACTTTATGTACTATATATTTCCTTTAGTGTCTTTCAGCAGGTTCTTACCTCACAACTTTGTCTGGCAGGAACACTGGAGTGACACATGTTGATTAGCAAATTTCCAAGATTCACTATATTAGTGTGTTACCAGGATTCATTAATAGTACAAAAGCAATAAGGTAAATTACATGAAGAAAACAACAAAATAAAAAGATTTTTCAGAACTGATTTAGGAGCTGACCAAGAGATCCCTGCAAAACATCTTTGAACAATGTAAGAAAAAGGGAGTATATAGCCAAATAAAGCAAAGAGGTCCACTTTGACCTATATTAATATAGTTTTCTGACACAACTGAGTGCTCATGAGTCTAAACTCTTACAACTGTGTTATCAGAGTACAAGACTGCACATAGCTGCAGCACTGAGACAGCCACCTGAGAGGAGTCCACACGTGAGCAGATTCCAGAGCTTATTCCACTCTGTAGAAAGAACAAGCCAAACATGACAAGACCATTAAGCTAAGGCTGTAAGTTCCACCTGGGCTGCCACACTTTCCCCATGACCATATCAGGTACATAAACAGACTAGGGAGACCTGTTTAGAAAGCTTTGATAAGATGGGCCAGGAGAGCAGCTGGAAGCAGCCTTGAGCTCAGACTGCTCTTCTCTACTCTGGATGTCCTACTAGTAGCAACTTTTTCAGCAGCAGCTGTCAGTTTGCTGGTGTCCTCCTGTGAAGGTACAGTGTTGGGTCAAGGAAAACACTACACATCGGGAGCCTGGCCTCCCAGGAGCAGTGTAGAGAGTGCTTTTAGTTAGATCTAAATGTAGCTGTACCAGGAAGGAAACTTCAGCTTGGGAAAATGACATATTTTAATGACTACAATTCTTGCAGTCCCCTTTTCATTTGGAAGATTAAATGCTAGTAGCTAGTTAGATGAATGGTTGCTGAAATATAAGAGCATTTTAGATGACTTGAAATAATTTTGGGAAAAGAGGATCACTGAACCAAACTGACAGATAAAGAAAAAAATGTCACGAAAGTTCCCAGAAATTACAGTATTTATCTGCAAATATACATACAGTATCAGTTCAACAATGAGTTTAATCTGTTGACATTTTTGCCAGTTATTTGCCTCAGAAGGTTTAATTTTAAACATTAAAATTACATAAAGTTCAAAACTTATACTAATAACCACACTAAAATAATATTTTACTAACAATATAGCATTGTTATAACAAATTATTTCGAAAAATCAAGTGGAGTAGGAATGTGATTCAAATTCTTAGTGCTTATCTTTTCCAATGAAGAGTTCATTTATGACATCTAGTGGATAAAGTTAGTATTACTTCCAATTTATAGAATAAATGCAAATGTGACCAAAAAAAAATGCAGTAATAATTTACTAAAAATTCAGTTGCTTGATTGCAGTTGATGATGCTAAGAAATTGCCATTTCTCCTGAAAAAATTATGTTAGTATGTAGTGCAGTTGAAATCCTGTTTCACCTTAAGAAATACTGTGTGCACACTATTCCCCATGTCTTGCAAAAGCAATTGAAAGGACTCTCATTGCCAGGGCTGCTCCTTATAGTTTCCAAAAAAATAGTACGGGTGTTCCCATAGCCCAGGATTTTGTGAATTTTGAGAACAAATCAATATGCACAATAACACGCTCAAGAACTGGATCCTAACAATCAACTTTTAGGTCTGCAACATCTGCCTTTGGTTCCTCTCTGGTGCACAGAGAAAGCTGTGTTACTCAGAACCCGATTAAAAACCGCACACAGGTTGAAAGGAACGCACGCAGGACTAGTAATCAGCAAAAGCAAAACGTGGCTGCACTTACTTAATGCACACTAGCAGAAGCCACACACAAAAAAAAAGTATCTGCTTCTCCAGGGACCTTTCAGGGTCTTCACAATAAGCAGCAACTGTGTAAAGGGCAACAGTTGCTGGAATTGAGCCCACTTAAGGAGCTAGCAAAACCACTAGATGACAGAATTAGCCCTAGAACAAAGGTTTCTTAATTAATTCTTGTGCAGCTGCACAGACAAAATGGTCTAACAGGTGGTCACGGTAGTGCCTAAAGCCACAGCAGGTGTGACTTGGCACCTTTTCAGGAAGAAATAACTAAACCTGCATCTCCTGGCTTCCCAGGAGTCCTCTACTCCTATTTTCTTTCAGAGGAGATGCCATCAGTGACTCATGCACAGAGCCTGCTCATGTTTAAATGCCTTAAGCATGTTTTGAGTACTCCTGCTGGAAGAAACATCCAGGGAATTTGACAGAACACTTAACTTTTATATGGCAAAAATAGCTAGGAGAACATAGATAAGAAGTTAAGCATTTTGAGATTTATAATTCAGCAGTTAAGACTCATGTTAGAAGCCTTAAGCATTTTTAGATCTGGTCATAGTTCATTGAGAAAATGTTTACCCACAGCTGAAATCCATCAGAAATTACTACTTTCATAGTTTATTAAAACATTTTTGTAGGTTTTACTCTAAATTATCATAGACACAATTTTGTTTACAACCTTGTCGAAATAGCTTTGGCAAAATATATATGTAATAAAAAAAACACTTAGTTGCAAGTGGTCATTGGGGAAGAAGATCGCTCAAGCTGGAGAAGAAAGATGTTCATCCTTTCTAAACTTTATATATATATAATAAATACACTTTATAGTAGATTGGTCTCATTTATTGACTTGCCATTAGATAGAGTCACAGATACACTGTGTATACTGAAATCTTTTGTGATCTTCACACCCTTTTTTCAATTCACTTGTACTTGAGTAAAAATATGACTTCAAAATCACATCAAGCTATATAACATATCTTGTATTTTCCTCTAAGTATGGAAACACATTATTTCTCTCAAACATTCTTTTCTTAATATTTCTGTAGAGCTGTAGATTTACATTTGAGGATTCATGGCTAAAAATGTCCAACTATTACTTGAACTAAAACCAAATATATTTCTGAGAATACACATTTATTATTGGGACATGCAGCAGTTTCACGTTTACTGAAACCACTGAATAGAGAAATTGAATGTATCACTAATAAAAACCAATGACAATCTCAGCAAAGTAATTTACTTTATATGTCTTGTACCCATATGAAATATAATACAGCCTTCTGCTCATCAGAGTCTTCAGCAGAAAAGCAGGGGTTTGATTATTTTCTTTTTAAATAAATACTTGAAACTTAGAAAATTGCTTTCAGGATTTGTAGGTATTTCTGTTTACCACACCTACAGCAATCCACTCCAATTAGTGTAGACCAGCCAGTACAGAGTGCTCTCAAAAGTGAGACATCTACAAGCTGGATATTCAGAACATAAATGAAAAACTATATACCTTTGAGGGTTTCTAGCAAAAAAACATTACTAGATTAACTGTAGGGCCTTCTCTGCTTAAACAGCTTCTGCTATCTTCATTGCACGTTTCAAAAACCCACAGAAATAGTGATTTGCATTAAAAACCAATAAACCTAACCTAGGATTTTTTACTTTGTGTAACTGTTACAAGAAAAGTAAAAGAGGCATTTGTTGAATCACCTCTATTCATCTACTCTGCTCCAGTAAAATTGAAAATGGGCTGAGACCATTCAGTTTAGGACTTTTAGGTTAAAATAAAATTTTTCATACTGCTACATTTTACATGTTTATGATGAAAAAGCTTTTTGCAAACTTAGAATATATAGTACAGACTTCTAGGAAACAAATCACATGAAATTAGCTTCCACCAGACTGTAATATTTTCCTTGAAAAACGCCAGATAGCTGTAATTCTCCATTAAGTCACCATATAGACATGAACTATGAGGGGAGGGTGTGATGAAAGTGTAGTCAGAAGCCATCAAATTTTCTGAAGTACTTGTAGAAAACAAAAAAGCGTTTCCAGAGCCTACACTTAGAAAAGAGACTACAGACATAACAACCATCCAACGTTCCTAAGAGCGATTTGTTCCCACAGAACACCTTCAGCAAGGGTTGATAATACAGTATAGTATCGTACGGTAGCAAAGGGTTTATCCACGGAGCATTTCAGGAAAAAGAGTTATACACAACTCTGCGGACAAGCACTAAGAGAATTACACAAACCCACTAAATTTTCTGGAAAGCTTTTCTAAAAGTAGCCTGCCGGGTTCATCGCGTGCTGCTGGCACTTCCAGAATTTGTTAACTGCAGCCACAAGCTTACAACAAATTAGGCTAACGAGAACCGAGCGCTCAGTTCACTGCAGCAGCCAAAGTGTGCTTTGATGCAGGCCGCGCTCCTCCTTTGATTAATTTTACACCTGCTTTGCTCCCACTCCTTCCCGAAGTCCTCACGTAGTTATCTCATTAGCGGGGCACTTCAGACACAGTAATTAACACCGCGCCGAAGGAACCATTATGCAAATTCCGCACCTGCCCATAACTAACACTAAGGTCAAATGACGGCTCGTTAGAATAATTCCGCTCACTGAGGCGCGCCTGCCGTGCCGTGCCGTGCCGCTTCAGGCCCCTGGGGCCGCCCGACCCCCTCACGGCGGCCGCNCCGCACGGCCCTCGGCGGTGGTGGGGACGGCGCTGGGCGGGTTCTGCCGCCGCGGTTTACGGGGGAGGCGCGGCGGAGGAGCTCTCTGGGGGTGGTGGAGGGAGGCCGCGGTCCCGGAGGGTTCCCGCGGAGGCTGCCGGAAAGCGCCGCTCCTGTTCGGCCCCGCGTTCCTGAATCCGCTCAGCAGAGCTCGCTGGATCGCTCAGCCGTGGGGAAATAGCTGTATCGTGCAACTCGCGCTTGTGGTTTTTAGAGTGCTTTCCCACAGGTGCCTATCTTGGCACGTTCTTGTGCAGGTTTTCACATTTGCTGCTTCCCATTTGATGGTTTGCCTCCCTTTGCACGTGTTTCTTTGTTTCCCGGGCACAGAAGGAAGCCTTTTACGCTATGAAATTTCCCGGAGATTCTGCCAACTACTAAAGCACAGTTCTTTAGTAATAAACAAATGGGAACTAGGAAGGGAGATAGACTTGAGCATAATAAAAACGTACAATTTTTGTTCGGTGTTTTTTCATCCCTAGGAACATGCTTCAGGAAGGCGCACACGGTAAATGGACAGTATCTAGCAGCGATGAAAGTGCCGCGGAAAATTCTGACAGTGAAAAGCCATGTACATCTTCACTATCGGATGCCGCATGTGGTAGAACGAGTGGACCACAATATCCGTGCTCTGATGCTAGGAAAGCTGCTCACAAGAGAAAAGCTTCTCCCCTGAAGCTCAGTGATAAAAGTCTTTCCGCAGAAACACCTCCAGCAGTAAAACAGAGACCAAGCCAAGAAGGTTCAGGTTGGTCTCTTTCTAGTAGTGATGAAGAGCCAGAAGATCAGCAAAAGCATGCCTACAAAGAAACGGTGAAAGAAGAAAAATATGATGTGCCCAAAGAACATCCTTTGAATCTTTGCAAAGATGACAAACTCTCAGAGAATCTGAAAGAAGAGGAGTATAGTGCCAGTGAAGCCCAAGATACCTGGGATTTGGTGACTGGAGGCAATCCTTTCAGATTTTTTCTCACTAAAGTCAGTGGAATTGAACAGAACTATAATTCTGGAGCCCTGCACATAAAAGGTGAACAAGTGGCTTCTATTAGAAGAGGGCTTTTGGGAGAAAGCAAGAAAATGCTTATTTTTAGTTTGTGGGTATTTTTAAATGCTTGTATTTTTTTTGTGTCACTGGGGTTTCATATTCTAAATGTGCAGTTTTGTAGAAATTGGTTCTGTTATTTGGACTTTTCTCTTTTAGAAGTGTAGTGTATGAAGCATTATTTGCTGATACTTTGTTGTAACTTGAGTTAAACTGCAGAAATCTAATTGTATTCAGCCAAGGCAAGTCGTGCTGCTTCTTATTGCTGCCTTCTCTGTGAGCTAATCTGAGGAAACCCAGTTGTCTTTGTGGCACTTAAACTTTCTTGGGTGCATAACTCCCTGAGTAGTTTGCGCCTTCGTGCTGCTGAGTGGTTTGGACCTAGTAATTCACGATTACTAGGTGCAGTACTTGTGAAGTTCTGTGTTTGGGATTGATGGATACGTTTAAATTCAGTTGGGAGAGAGCTGTCTATCAGCTATAGTGATATATCTATCTATCTATAGTGGAGTCTTTGGTGCACAATACAGATGCTTCAGGAATGCTCTGTTGTCCTTTGATGTAAGGTGGAAGAGCTTTGTGCACCTGTAAACATCCCTGTTAGAAATAATACCCTGCATATCACAAGACAGAATCAGAAACAAGTATTAATAAGAGAATTGTGTGCAGAAATACAACAAAATAAGGCAAAAAAAAATTGTGGTCATTTGGGGGAGAAGAAATTACTCAAGGTCTATACAATTGGTTTGTAACTTAAGCTCATGCCTATTAGCACAAGCAAGTGTCAGAGATTTTAGTTGCTTTACTGCAGGATGATTTTATATGCTTTGTGAATTTGTGACTCTTGGCCTCTCCTCTCTTGGGAGTCCTGCTAGGTCATTGGGTAAGCTGGTGGACAGGCAATATTCTTTGTTTGTTTAACCTGCTAAACCAGATTTCTGTAGAGGTAGGGCATTAAATAATTTGCACGTCCTGGAAATTACTTGTAGAGTGTGTTTTCAAGTTGGTGCTGTGCTTCAGTTGTTGAGGTTATAAATCCCCAGATGGATTAGTTTCCTGTGGTACTGTGATTGAAATATGGATACACGTGTCCCACAGTCAGTCTGCAGCAGATGAATGAGCATTAACTATGCCCTTATGGCTGCTATGCTGCCACAGTTCTTCAAGCCCACTCAGTAGGGGAGTGAGTAGTTTAATGTCCCTTTATCAATATGATGTTGGACACTTTTTCCTAATCAGCTTTTAAAACTTGTTTTCTGCTTTGAGAAGATTATTAATTTTTATAAGCATATGATCCTAAGTGATTCACAGAAGAGTCAATGACTTGAATATAAGTAAACTTGTGAATGCCTCTGTTACACCAGGACTATGAACAATCTGGCCTTTGTGCTGTGGTAGTTATCAAACTGTTCAAGATGCAAAATGTTTACTTGAAGTATTTTTTATTTATTCATGCTTTAATATTTTTAATAGATATTTTGTCTCCTATTTTTGGAACTCTCGTATCGTCTGCCCAGGTGAGTTTCCAAACTGTTTGCCAAACTGATTTCACTTGCTTGTTTCACTTCATTAATCTTAAACTTGATAATCCATGCTTGTGCCATGTAGCTGATATTAGCAGGGAACCTTGTTAAAATACGGAGGGAATTCTAAATGTTTTCAACTGTGGAACTATTTATTGAACTATAAACACCATCCTATGTTCTGCTGTAGAATTCAGGCAGTTATAAAACTACTTTATTCTGTTTTTAAGGAATGTGCAAGTGAGAAGCATGTATTTATGCTCATAAAAAATGAGGTTTTTTGAAAGAAATAATGCCTTGCAATCTAGGAATGATATCTTTGTTATGCCTAGAAGCTTTTGCTATCATTCATGATAAGCACATGGCAAAGAGATGATCCTTGAACCTAAGCTTTACATTATTTGCATGTGATTCTTTCTTTTCCTGGATGGTAAATTTTATGATCACTAATGCATACTTTTGAGAAACTTAAATTCATTCTTGAATTATTAGAGATATGAAAGAAAGGATGTGAAAGTCAAAAATACACCTGTTTTTAGAATATGCTATATATGATGTAAGTAGTAATGTGTGATGACCTTACATAGAAAGCTTTTTTGCTGTAGTTCATTGATCTAGCTGGCTTTTTCCTTTTAATGAGTCTGTTTTCTTTTTCTACATACAAGTTTAACTACTGTATAGATGTGGGATGGCTTGTAAGACAGTACCCGCAGGAATTCAGGTATGTTTATTTTACAAAGGTCATGTGATGAAATTTCCATTAATTTTCCATTTCTGTTCATACAAGGTCTCATTATAAGTGAGTGATAAACACTTCTTTGCAGTGCAGATGCTTGTTACCAATTGTATATGTATAGTCTCTTAGTTTTTTTTTTTACTCTTATTCAACAGTTGTAGTTCTCTGATTTCTTGATTCTTTTCAAGACTGGTAAATGGTCGGAGTTCGGGATAGCTGATTTCTGATTTTTATTAATTAACACTGAGGCAGTCCCATTGTAGGCCACAATGACATGATAGTTGATGATCTGTAAATATGGAACAAGACACATTTTGCCATACAGTTTACCTAGTCAAGAGCTAGATGGTCCAAGAGAAAGCAGAGAATGTAGCAAGGGCACAAGAAAATAGTGTGACAAGGATCAGGATGAGTCGATGGATATGGTATACTAAGTTGATGGGTATTGTTATAAAAGCAATTCTTGTTTGCTTGAAATTCCTTTCTGACAATTGCAAATGTCATCTGTAAATCCTGCAGATGAAGTGAACCTATAATGTGCCTTTTTTTTTTTTCATTTTGCTGGAAGTGCAGTAGAACCAGAGTTCACAGAATCACAGAGTAGGTAAGGTTGGAAGGGACCACATTGGGTTGAGTAGCACACTGTTTCTTGTGGGATCCTCCACTACACGTGTCAGCTGTCATCAGTGCTTTCAAGGAACTTGCTGTATTGTTTGTGCTTTGCTGTCTTGCTTCTCCAGCACATGTCAGGGTAGCTAGTCCCCCACAAAAATCAGGGTCTGAGGCTGCTCATACTGCTGCTGTAGAAGGCCTCATCCACTTAGTCCTGCTGATCAGATGGCAGGCTTCTACAGCAGTGTCACTCTTATTCATCTGCTCTTGTATTCTAACCCATGACATCTTGATTGGTGCCTCGTGTAGAGGGCAACTCCACTACTACACCTTCCTGTCTTTCCTAAACAGCATGTAGCCCTTCATGACAATATTCCAGTTGTGTGAGCTTTCCCACCATGTCTCTGTAATTCCAATGAGATTAAAGGGCTGTGACTGCACACAGATCTCCAGTTCCTCCTGTTTGTTCCCTGTACTATGATATGCAGGTACTTCATAGAAGTATTTGAGTGTGCCAGTATCCCAGTGGGAGTGCAAAGGGATGCCCCATAGTGCTGTCTTGTGGTTATGTATTTGGCTGCTTGTGCTCTCTGCAGTTATCTCTGTCCTGTCCCATTGTTACTATTTGGGACAGTAAAATAATGGTACAAGACTCTGAGCCTACATTAGAGGGCATATAGCAAAGCTTTATTAGAAATGTGCTCTTTTTATACAGCACTTTGGTGCAATGAATATGATTGCTCATTTAGAATAACACCCCTTGACTGTTTTTTCCAAATAA